CTGACCTACGCGTGGCCTTGAACTTGATGTTATTAACGAGACTTTAAGTTGTGAACAACACTAAATAATCAAACTCTGTTAAAAATGCTGGACTTTTCACAAGTTATCGATTGACTTTGGTCAAGTCACCTTTATTTCTATAGCACATAATACAATGGAGACTGTGTAAAAGCAGCTTCACATCAAGGTTATTACAGTTAAAAACTAACAAAAAAATAAAAAAACTAAAATTGAAAAAAACATTTTTGTTACTGAAATAAAAAAAGTAAAAAAGAAAATGAACTGAAACTGTATTGTATACATGCAAAGCCAACCGACACAAAAAATATAGCAAAAAAAATCTTTCGTTTTCGTCTTTGTAAATGTATTTAATACATACTGTAAGCCTTTAAATCTATTTGCTTCGTGCTGCCAGGTGTTTGACCGTACAGCACCTCAGAGTCTGTTATCCTGATGCCATTGGCCAGATCAAGCTGGTCCTCCTACAGTCAATCCTTGCTGTTGCTCCCGCGACAAAAACAACAGCATTACATACGACCCGAGCAGACAAATAAAAGTATAAATTTAACTAAATAAATGGGTTTTGTTTTTTTGTTAGTGGTAGCGATTGTGAACAAATATTTTTTTTAACTACATCTAAGTGAACCGGTTGAACTAGTTTACCAAATTGAACTGAATCATTTGAAACGATTCACATCTACAGTAACGTTAAGCACTTATCCACAAACAACTTAATTTTTACATGCCTGATAACCCCCCTCCTGAGTCCTGACCCAAAATAAACCAATATATACGGAGTTATTCAGTTATTAGAACAGTATACTGAGATCAGATTTGAGAAGCAGTGACCGATAATACTGCACATGCGGGATTCAATGAACCGAACACAAACAGTACTTGACAGCCTGCTGTGATTGAACTCAACTTGAACAACTGCAGCGCGGGAAACTGAGGGCTTTAATGAGAGGATCTGGTAAAATGTATGTTTATTTCATAACAGAACGTCATAATAGAGTTTAAATAAGTGAATCATGCTTCAGTTGGCTTGCAATGCATAATTGTAAGAATTTTTTTTCAGATCATGGTGATGTTTTATCTGACTGAAACATGGGAGGATTGTCACAAAAGATTCAGTTCACAATAAAGATTCGAACTTCCCATCACTACTGTGTATCTAACCTTGAAAGCAGCCTTGCACACATATTTTACTTAAGTGTGCTATCTTGTGGAATGTTGTATTTGAGGATGGGTAGATGGCAATGGTAGATGGTAGTGTTCTTGTGTGCAAAAAAAGTAGCGATCTTTGATTGAGTTTTCATTATACAATATTTATTCAGATGATTTTGAACCTTGCACCTAACAAATATCCTAATTAACAAAAAAAAAAACTAACACTGAAACTATTAAAAACTTAAGCAATTTAGAAATAACATATAAACTAAACAATTTTAAAACATAAAAAACTAATAAAAAATAGTAAATCTACCTCTAAAAACTAATTAAAACTAACTGAATTTGAAAACAAAAACACACACACACACAAAAAAAACTAAAACTAATGAAAAATCCAAAACTTTTATAACCTTATAACCTCAAAATGGCAAGTCAATAATAATATATTGAAAACAATTCACTGGCAAGAATTTTTGTGCTCATTAAAAGTCAAATTAAAGTAAAATTAAACCTGCATGCATTTTTTTTGGTGCAAGCACAAGTCAAAATTAAGCAGCTAAAGCATTTTTTTGAAGATAGATTTCATTTGGGATGCTAGCTTACAGTGAGAACACTCACTAGTGTCCTTTAACATTCTAAAAAAACAGAAAGGAAATTTATGAATGTAACTTAGTCTAGCACATTCGGTCTAATGCTAATTAGCTGACCTCTGCTTTGAAATGTTTGAGTGATTTAAAACGTGTAGCGGTCGCCCAGCATCCGGAGGGACTACACGATCCAAAATTTGTTTGCGTTTAATTTCCACTTCACAGACAGCAGCACACATTAACAACCCTTGGGAAAGGGCTGGAAAGCTGCCAGCGGGACAGAAGAAAAAGTGAGTACAGCATCGGGTCATCACAGCTTCATCAACAGCTCCTCCGCAACAGCTTCAGAATGTCTGACAGCTCCAACATTAATTCCTCTCACATCATTCTACGCTTTTAATTATGGTTTGGGTAACAGAAGCTCTTCCATTCACTACAGTCACTGTCAAGAGGGTAACAATGAGATTTACACTGTCCGTAACTCATTGTGAATACTTCAAGATGTTCGTCAGGATATTCAAACAGCTTCTGGTGGAGACAAAGAGCACTAAACACCATTCAAAACACTGATGGAAGCTTCATGCTTTTTGACTATAAAAATCACGGTACTACGGACCTCCGCTGGGTTTGTTTTTGCACATTGAGCAAAAGTATTTTGAGGTGCTACGATCCTAATCAGTAGAAGTCATTTAGAGTCATGAGTAGACAAATGTGCCCGTCAAAATCTTCTGGAGAGCCAACTAAACCTCTGTACTTTACACTAAATAGTGCACAACACGTTAAGTCTTATAAAAGCCACTGACTGCCAAAAGCACATTTCACCACAAAAAAAGGAGTAACGTGCCTTATAAGTATAAAAGCCAGGCTGTAAATTCCAAGTCTCTATAGAGCATGAAAGAAATTAGCATTTGGATAGCACTGTATGGTATTAACATCTTTTAAAGAGCAACCTTTGGTTGGATTTATCCAACTATAAGTAGCTTTGCTTAATGTCAGTGGCCATTACAACATTTAAAACCAAGATAATCTCAAAAAACTTTGCAAGTATGTCAACTTATTCTTAACCCTAATCTAACAGTCTACTAATACTGTAATTATTTTGTTGTCGACCAAATTTCTAAAATGCACCATCAAAAAAGATTTAAGGTTTCATTTTTATCAGGTGACAATGATAGATAGATAGATAGACAGACAGACAGACAGACAGACAGACAGACAGACAGACAGACAGACAGACAGACAGACAGACAGACAGACAGACAGACAGACAGACAGACAGACAAATAGATAGATAGATAGATAGATAGATAGATAGATAGATAGATAGATAGATAGATAGATAGATAGATAGATAGATAGATAGATAGATAGATAGATAGATAGATAGATAGATAGATAGATAGATAGATAGATGTAAAATCACATGCATTCCCTCTAAGATGTTTATTCACAAAAATAAATACCCATTGTTTAGGTGTACAAAATGTACAGGACATAGTCCAAGGCTGTTGGTACAGGACAACAGAGTTATTAGACACACAGGACAGGAGCATTAACTATGTAACAAATCACATGTACAGAAGAAAAGGGTGGGGATAAACCCTGAAAGATTTATTTTCCATTGGACCCCTGCAACACTGTTACCTACAGCTTTTACAATGTTCCTCATATGAATAGATATTTAATATGCATGTTCCAATCCTAAAATATGTATTAATATTCCAATTATTATCCTAGATTTGTATACTTTTATTATATCCCCAAATGTACCACTTTGACATAATCCTCTTTTTGTCATCCAAACATATTACATCCTATACAGTTGAAGTATCTTCCCCCCTGTTTATTCCCCCCCCCCAATTTCTGTTTAACGGAGAGAAGATTTTTTCAACCCATTTCTAAACATAATAGTTTTAATAACTCATCTATAACAACTGATTTATTTTATCTTTACCATGATGACAGTAAATAATATTTTACTAGATGTTTTCAAGACACTTCTATACAGCTGAAAGTCAAACTTAAAGGCTTAACTAGGTTAATTAGGTTAACTAGTTATATTAGGGTAATAACGCAAGTTATTGTATAGCGATGGTTTGTTCTGTAGAATATTGAAAAAAAATATAGCTTAAAGGGGCTAATGATATTGACCTTAAAATGGTTAAAAAATTTTAAAACTGATTTTAGTCCAGTCAAAATATAACAAATAATACTTATTAATAATTCCGGCTAATAATTCCGACTTCAACTGTATATTAATGTAACAGCTGATACTTACATGTGCAAATTGTTTAAGCAGTGAAAGGCAGCTTCCTTAAAGTAACAATGCAGCTTAGAAACAGAAACACACTTCCACATAAAGTCATATAAGAAACAACAGCATCCCTCACAAAAACCATGTTCAACCATTTTTCCACACAAACCTCTGACACTTGGCTTAACTGACAGTCAAATAACATTAACCTTTTTAACTTTACTCACAAATATTAGAGTATTCTATTCTACAAAATCAAGTCCTCTTGATAAACTGTTTTTAAAAGTATCACGTCAGAGACAGTTTTGACAACTATTTACAAGATGTCATACATCTCTTGCGTTATAGTCTTGCAGAATTTTCTACAACTGCACTTTGCAACTGTCCCAAACATTACAGACCAGTTTACATCTGAATTTAGAAACAACATGCTTCACTAATACAACATATTTTAATTTCAGCTTTAAATTACTTCCACAATCATTTGCAAATGTATTCAAGTTCAGTAATTAAACAGTGGCTTGACTTTTTCACAACACAAACAGTCATGAAGTTTCACTGAATGCAGAATCCAGAGAAAGTCTTTTTTAATTGAAATGTCCTTACATTCCCCTAATCATTTGTTTAAAACATCTATGAGCTTTCATGGCATTTTGTAGTACTCCTGAGGGTTTTATTAATAAAGCTGTAAGTAGAAAAACCCTGTAAGCAGATTTAAGCTCCAAAAAAATGTCTCTTAGGTAAATTCAGGTTGTGAAAAAACAAATACTTTTCTCGACACTCAGAGAGGAAAATAATAATTAAACCAGGACTGGGGCCTGGTCCAAAATGCCTGACTTGATTGAGAACTAACCTTTAACTCTACAATTTAAAATCCAGGTCTTATGTTACTAAGAAATTAGCATATGATACAAAATTAAAATGTTGTCGTGAAAACTTGAGCAGAAGGGGAATAAAGTCACAAAATGCAAGTCAGAGTAACTCACCAATATATTAGAAAACTGTTTTTCCGCCATGCTTCACAAGCTCTCTTCGGCGTGGGTCCCCTCTCAGGAAGGATGCCCGTCCTGGCCTGTCTCCGTGCTCTCTGGGACTTGTCCTAAGCTGCTGGGGTATGTGTCTCTGTTTCTGGCGCACACAGCTTCTTCCTCAATCGTTTCCTCTCTCCGCAAGCTCAGTCAGTTTGCAGTGTTGGGCTGAGGTGGCGTCTCTGCTTTGTGCTAATTCTGCGTTAATCCAGGAACTTTTCTATGCTGTGAAAGGAACATGTGACAGGGAGAAGGAGGGTGAAAGAGGGGGGAAAAGCAACTATTAGCCCCCAAATGTGATGTGCTTTTTCTAAAACAATCATTTCATAACTGCTGATAAGTTTCGGGAATACTGTCCATGTCCAAGACATTCTGACATTATGGGAAGTGATGTAGAGAGTAGTTACTGTAAACTAGGATAAAAAGATTTCGTTTTTTAAAATAGCAAACACAAAGAGCTACAGTACAGATAACTACAGAAAATAACACTGTACAAGCATAACGTCTGGAAAATAACAGATTTACCAATTTAACAGCTTTAACCGATTTCAGATTGTTTTTTTGCAATAAATTGGTATAACTTTTATCAAGATATTCAGAATTATTAGATAATGAACTAAGCTGCGATAAAAATACGTTTTTTCGGGTATAATAACCTAAAAGTACTTAGTGTGTTGTTTTATTGTATATACATGTTTGGAGTAAATAAATGTTTTAACCAAATTAAACTGCAGTAGGATTATAAAATGCAATATAGGTAAAAGTAAGAAATAGCCATATAGTTATTATGTGTTAGAATTGATTAGAAAATTTGATTGAATCTTATTAGCTATAAATTCAGTTCATTAATCATTATAACATTTGATTTGAATGCATTATCAGTTATTCTAAATTAACTGGTGTTAACCAATGGACTTTTACGGTAGAATAAATGAACAAAAGAACTGTAAAAAGTCACAGAATTTTTAGTATCGCAGGGCAGATTAAGGGTTCTTTTTTAACGATCTAGGCGCAAAGTCTAAAGCGCATAGCACAAAAGCATTAAGAGCGTGTCCGAATCCACTTTTGCTCTTTTAAGTACCAAAAACAAATACAGTTTTTGCTGCACACAGTAATAAATGCAGGGTTCCACATAAGTCATTTATGTTGTCCCAACCAGATCAAGTTAACTTAACACTTTTAACAAATTTATGTGGATTGAACATAAAAAAATTAAGTTGTCCCAATGAAATCTCAAGAATTATGTTGTTTTAGCTCATTTTAGATAAGTAGTTTAAATGAGCAAAACAAAATACTTTTTTGAGTGCAGGGTTGTGCTTATTCTCTTAATGAGTTATGTTTGCGTTTTAAGCATAATGTGCAGTAAACCTAAAGTCTCATTTCCAATTCCCTTTAAGAGTCATTTTTGCTATTCACATGGCAGACTTAGTAAGTGGAAAAACTGAATCCTTCACTAAAACAGTTAAACAGACCATCTGCAGCGAGAATAAAGAACGAGCCTCCTCCATTCGGCCTTTACTTTCTCCTTACTTTTACTCTTTACTTTACTCATTTACTTTCATGAATAAGAAAACAGTGTTGTACGCACTCCACTGAAGGCATTCATTAGCCTACTTTAGTTTTAATTTCTGGCAAATTAATAAATTAACAATAATTGTGTGATCAAAAAACTGCTATATCAGGTATATCTAAACATGGCATATTCTTATGCCTCATTTGGTGATGCATACATCTCCAAAACTCGACAGGTGGACAAATCAAAATTTTTTTTTATTAAAACAAATATAAATATGCATATAATTAATAATAGTATTACTAATAATAATAACATTAAAATAAAAATGCAAATTGTCATGAACAAATTGAAAAAAGGACCTTGGACATGAAGGCATGGAGGCAGTGGTTTTTTATATTTATGTTGAAAATAATAATTTTTGTAACATTTTATTCCTTACTTTTTTCCTATGCAAAGATATTTATTAACCTAACCCCAACCTAACAGTCAACCTATAATCTTATGAGAATTAGTAATTTGACATGTACTTGCAAAGTTTCTTATAGTCAGTTAAATGTCTGATAAGGAGCAGCATCAATAGATATTAAGCAGACAGTCTACAAATACTCAAATGAACCATCAAAATAAAGTGTTACCAATAAATTGCCTATTAAGTCTTATTGTGAAATATTCTGAATAGTCTTCATAGGCACTATAAAAATTTAAGTAAAATAATTTGAATATTGTGAATGTTCATTATTAAAATATATATGTAATTACTGAATATCACCATACGCTACAGTCTGCAGTGTGGTTGGGTTTTTTCACTAAAACAAACAAAAAAAAAACATTTTTTGCTAGTTATACTATATAATGCTGAAAATCTAGCACATGAACACCTTAGGTTTCAGAATTGATGATGGACTATTACTGATTTTCCACAAGTATGGATACGCTGTCAGTTTAAGGACTCACGTAGCACTTTAGTAACTGGAGCCTTATAAATCACTCTGATGTTGTGATAAACTTATCCTGACACAAGCCAACACTGTTAATCACCCATCCTGAATTAAACAGAACGTTTCTCCAGACCCAGTATTTGAAATTAATACCTCAGCCAGGACAAGTGAACTTTCACTCATATTTATGGCAAGAGAACATGCACTAACATTTCAGTGGAAAATTACTCCTGTATCCAGTTCAACCAATGAGAACATCGAACAAGGAGGGATTTACAGGAAGGTATCCAAATACAATAACAAATTAACAAATGTAAACAAAAAACACCACACTGGACATGAGGATAGATAAAGAGTAGATAAAAGTAGGTTAAGAGACAAGTGTACCATCGCTCAACCCCCCCGACCCTACACAAAAAGATGTTTTTATTTTCAAAAAGCAACAAGATAAGACAAGAGATAAGCTGAGCAAACACCATGAGCCGACAACTCTATAATCAGTATTGAGTTGTCTATTGCACCACACAGAACATGCTTTTGACTGAAAATTACAGTCAAAAACAAAGCCTTGATATTCATTTGCTCAGATCATCCAAGGTGTGAGTTTTTTTTTTTTCTTCAGTAAAACATTTATATGTTTTCAGCTGCAACTTTAAGCCTTGGTTGTTCAGCAAAATGCACATTTTTGGCTATCGGCACTTTGAGAGTCGCAAAATAAATAAATAAATAAAAACACATAGAGAATACAGAACACTTTTCGGCACTACAGAAGAAATTATTTAAATCTATCCAGGTGTGAAAATACCCTGCAACTAGACACCTAATTTCCATTATCAGTCTCATAAAAATTTCAAAATGCTTATAGTTTTTTTAATGTGTCATTTTATTAACGTCATTTCATATTCATTCTTCTCCCTTTTTGGTTCCACTTTATATTAGGTGGTCTTAATACAAACTTACACTGAAACTAAAGGTGCTGTATGTAAGTTTTTGACTCTTCTAATGCATAAAAATCCCATAATATGTTTGCAGATATTTAAGAAACATGCTAAGTGAACTTTCTTGTTTATCTGAAAAGCAATGCTAAAGTCAGATATCCTGCTTTGAAAATGTCTGTTTTGTGCCGGAACGCTGTCTTTGTTTTGGTCCCTTTAACCCGCTCAATGCCAGTTTAGCCAATTATATTTCAGCATTATGGGTTGCCTTGGTAAAAAGCTGCTTATTTCATTCATTCAGTCATTCAAAAGGGCTCTCAAACATGCATCCGTGACCGAAATGCAACCTCCGGTGGACAGTGGCAGACTCCGAAATGAGAACTACCTGCTTCAGCTTTCAGTAGTATGACAATAAATGTCATGTAAAATGTCATTCAAACTAACATTGTTAGCATTTAACACTGAATAAACCACATGAGGTGTACCTGAGGTGATGAATGTCAGTTTTCTATTGTTCAGCTGCAAAAAAATAAAAGCCTAATCTTTGGAATACCCTTCTTACTGAGCTTCGTACAATCACTGATCTGCCACTATTTAAAGCCAAACTTAAGACTCACTGGTTTAATTAAATTGGCTTCTTTATTTTTTAATGCTTGTTGTATTTAATTGATATTTCTGGTATTGTTTTGCATTGTCTTCTTTTTTTGTTGTGCTGTATAATTTGTTTTTACTTGTGTAAAGCACTTTGGTCAACCTTGATTGTAGTAAAGTGCTATATAAATAAAGGTTGATTGATTGATTGAAACCTACCCATCCCACCAAACCTGTTCCTAACCCTATCCGTATCGCACCTTAAGATCACCAGATGCGTTCTGCAATCCATTATGTACACAGTAAGTACATTGTTTTTTGTTTTTTTTAAATATTCAAGTATATTGTAGTTAAGGCCACCTAATATAAAGCAGACCTTTTTTAAATGTAAAAGTGCTTAAAGGCTCTGTTAACCTTTGAAATCATCACAAAGTCTGTGATTGTTTTGTCATTTGGAATGCCCCTAATATGAATGGCATTAGAATATCATGCTGTGTTCCAGAAAGCCAGTTGGATGTGGTGGGTGGAATTTGGGAAGTCACCTTGCAGACGCTGCTTGAAGTGGCTGATGAAGTGTCTACACTACAAAGCTTTGGCAGGTCATAGGGTGACTCTCATTAGCTGTGACTATTGGAAATGACAGCTTCCAACTGTCACAAAGACTTAAAATTACATAACTGAACTCTCTCACATTTCTCTTTCAATAACCCTACCTTAACTGTTTTGACTAGGCGGCCAGTGGGATCCGATTCCAGCAACTCATTATGTATAAGTGTAAAAAAATAAACTTGAAATCAACAAGTCTTTGAACCTGAATTATGCTTATGACTGTCCTTTTGGTCTGGAGAGCCATGAGTACAACTGAGCATCTGTAAGTGTGTGATACAATGTACTGCAACTCCTCAACTCCACCCAATATAGATAACAGTGCAGCTTCAAAACACTGTGGTAAACTCTACACTGAACTTTACTACAACATTGAACATACATGAACAAAAATGCGCAATAATATATAACTTGTTTATGAAGACACCCATAACTTTCTTCATACACAACTTTTTTTTTTTTTTTGCAAATAAGACAATTATGATAAGATGTACACTGTGTACAACATATTTGAGTATTTTACTCCAATTTTTGCATTTTTTAAATGATTTATCCAGTAAATTAGCAACACTGTTGAATTTAGCAATATGTAATAATTGCATTTTGGCACAGATTTTACAAAAGTGGCTAAAAGTGACC